ACTGGTTGGCTGGTATAAATTTGTGCTCCATTTATTCTTTCATTAATGAAATTTAGAATACCTATCCTATCAAGGAGGCGCAGAGTCACTGCAGAGTTTCATATATTTCCCCTTTCTGCTTACCCCTGCTCCCATGGCTGCACTGGCATAAAGGACAGCTTATTGGAAGAAAGAGCTATTAATAGCAATCACTCATTCACTGGAACTGGAACCCTTAATGGAACTTCTCACTAAAGACACAACAACCAGGAAATGCCCCTTCTTCTTTAATCATAGTGATACTCAGTTAATGTTATTGAATAATGGGATTTGCCTGGCAGTCATCCATAGCTTGTATTTCATGGGAACCACGGAGCTGAGAATGCTATGCATGTCTAATCTGGACTGGATCTTTCCAAGATCTTTTCAAGACTCCCATTAGACCATCTCTTTCTTTATACAGTGGTCAGAATTGTACCTTCTCGAAGGCACTGAAGCATCCTGCTACCTTCACAGGCTTCCTGTCAGGTGGGTGGCACACTGCCATGTGGGGAGGGCACTAGCCGTAATGGGGTGGGGGTGAGGGTTACCCATAAATGTTCCTATTCTAAAAGCAAGCATTGGTTCTTTAAATGGAAGCTGGCAGATCACCAGTTGGAAAGCCTGTTGAAAAACAATAAGAATGAAAAAGTAGATTAGAATAAGCCTCACAGAGACCATATTCATGGGAATGGTGGATACCGAAATAGACTGGATGGCTACGGTATACAACAGCAATCAAGCAACTGTGCCTATTTCTTGGCAAAGAAGGCAATGAAAAGGGCTTACTTGCTGTTTCTATTGCATCTTCAAGGAGCTGCCCAATGAAACCCTTCAAGGATGCAAGGATTCTTAACATGTGCTTTGGGGACCAGGATACACAAGCCTTCAGTGAATAATCTTGTGACAAGTTTTCTGACCATTTAAAGAACAAAATCATGCGCCTTCATGCTGATATCAGACACACTCAAATGGGGTGACCAGTGTGTCGTCTGTACCAATTTTGTGCAGCCTGCCAGTGTTTGGCCAAAAGTATCATAAACAAGTAAAGTTGTATTTTCATAATAGTTGGGAGTCCTAGAAAGCACAGGGGCTTCTTAGCCAAAGAATCATCCTAAAAACACTACTGTTGAATAAGTTAAAATTCTGAATATTGCTATGAGTTTACTATTAGACTATTGTGAACATGACTATCACTGTGGGCTGCCTTAACATAATAATGGGCCAGAGGCTTAAACTTGATAATCACCCAGGATATTCTGGTAGCTTATATTCATACAAGCAGCATCCTGGTCCAAATCTAATGGTAAACTATATTTTAGCATTACGTGCACGAGTCTCAGCTCATACGCTGCCCCCTTCCCTTCTTCTGGCATAGCTGTGGGAATAATTGGATACTTTTGCTTCAGTTTTCAATTAATTTCAATTTAATATTGCATCTGAACCTACACTGCAGTTAATCTTAACTTACTGAAACAAACAAAATTGATAAACTGTGATTTAAAGTTAGCATTATCAACTAACCATATTTAAGATTAATGGTGGTTTGTCCTTGTTTAGCAAACAGTGGAAACTGCAGTTAATAAAAAAGAGAATTAAAAGATTCTGAACTCATCCAGATGGCAGAGCTGGAAGAGAGTGAGAGGAAAGCTCACAAGGCCAAAGCCTGTTCCCATAATGCTAAACTATAACCTAGGACTTGGTTCACATGTCATGATGGCAGTTCCTGGTTTGTTTAATCCAGGGATTGTGAGGCTGAGAAAAGACATGAACTGTATGTTTCCAACTTCTGCTTTTAATTAAATACCCAGATTTTAATTAACTACCCCAGAACAGCCCATTGCTGCGCTGTTTTGTGACGTGCAACCCTGGAAATTCTGGTTTGTTTATCAGTTAAGCTTCCAACCTAACCTAATGATTTGTTGTTGGGTTAACTCTGCATTATTTAAGTCAGAGTTTCCAGGTTTGCCTGTCAGGAAATCCATTTCTGGGTTATTGGTTAATGTAGAAATGACTCCACTTGTCCCATTGATTCCTGAGTTAACTCAACATTTGCCACTGTAATATGCAGTACACTACATAGTTTAAAAGCAGTTTTCAAAAATTCCAAACAGCTGTCATGAGTGTACCCATCAAGCAATTAAATAAACCTTAAATATCTTGAAATGCCTCAGCACAGAGGGCTGTCTTAACCTAGTACCAAAAGGATGATCAAGTTTAAACTAGACAGGCCTTGGCAGAAAGATCATTTTATGGTCAGGGGGCCATCACTGAGAATGTTTTCCCCCTTCCCTTACAGCTGCTTTCTAAGCTTTGTACCCTTGGAGGTGACACACAGAGGTAGATTGTAGCATCCCAATATATTGCAGACAACAACAAAGTGATGTAATGCAGATATAATGTTTGCAGTCCAGGTGATTCTTATTGGTATTTTTATCACAGCCAGCTGGAATGGAAATAGCTCAAAGAGAGGTCTTTCATAGGTCTTTCATTCCACTGAGTCAATGGAGTGGTCTTGCTGCGCTCGCTCGCGCTCGCGCGCGCGCGCGCGCGCTCTCTCTCTCTCTCTCTCTCTCTCTCTCTCTCTCTCTCCCCCCCCCCCCCCCCCCTTACAGCCTGATGGAATGGATGCTGGATGACAGCTGGGGGAATGCAGATGCAAATTCATAACAAAGAACTGAGATCATGATCACTATAACGGAATTACACAAAGTCGAACTACATGATACATTATTTATGCATTGTGTGGCTGAGAATTATTTTTTTAACATCAATGCTCACAGGTTTCTTTAGAACTGTGGGCCCCAGTAGTGGTAGGGGATGATTATATCCTCCACATAATTCCCCCCCCCCAAATCCTCACATAGGTGTGTTAAAAGAGGCAAAAAGCCACAATTGACACCAATGTGTCATTTGACCCACAGCTGCATCCTTCCCTGCCCCTCCCAGAATACTGCAGATAAAAAAGCTTCATGTCAGTCTTCCATGTAAGACCAGTAAGTGTATAATTCACTAACTATACAGCTTGGGGATATGAATTACATTAGTGGCACATTCACTGACAGTCTCCTAATGTTACATTCGCTCAAGCACAGCTTTTACTTCCCAAAGTGCAGGCTTGTATTCCCAAAGTATTTACATCTCACATCTTTTCTGCTGTCAATAACAATTGAGTTTTATGGCTCCCTCCCAATTATGTTGATATGTTTGTTCTGCCTTATGTCATACATTGCCAAGACTCATAATACTAGAAGGTCAGGTGTACACAGTGGCAGATGGGCCATTGTTTGAAATTGAACAAGAATGGTTTGAAACTAAACAAGAGAATGGACATAACCCATTGCTATGCTTATTTACTTATACAAGATCTAACTTCCTGAATGTGCTATGCAGGGAACTTTTTAACAATTTCTTCTTTATGCTTCATTTGAAATTTTGTCTTGAATGCCTTTCCGCCTCTCGCAATGTAATTTTACCACTGGGTAAAACATTTTGTACAACTGCTGGGAAATGTGAGTTTGTCAGCTGAACAGAGAATAAACATAGAACCAATTCACACATTAGATTTTTCTGTGTTATGGATATAAGTATTTTGTAATGTCAAAATACCTACCCTGGCAGAAATTATTAGTTGCATCTAATACAGCATTCCTAGGTAGTCTTACATCTAGGCAATAATGCACTGAAGTCACACTCCTTAAAGCAAAAATGTATAAGGTTATGCTGTAAGCAGTCGTCCAGTTATGGCCAAATACTAGGACCTTTGAACCAGCAGGGCCCCAAATGACTTTCCGGAGGGCAGCTAGTATTGAGGGAATCTGGGCAGCCGAAGTAGCCTTCAGTTCTGTAATTGTGATGCTGATATGATTTAAATAAGTTTAAAATGCAAAATTGCACATACTTGGGGTATACTTTTAAATAAAATAGGGTTCACACACTGCTTTGCTTTTGTTCCAGGAAGTCAGGAATGCAGATGCAGATCATGGAATGGGGGTGGGTAGGTTAGCGGGAAAGAGAAATGTGAATTCACACCTGAAGTAAAACACATGATCATGTAAGTGGTCCCCATGTAAAACCATTAAATTTAGGGCCTAAGTTTACCTAGCTGTCCCAATGGCTGTAATATGGGCAGTTTTAACCACATAACCATGCTGCATATGCTCAGACCATTTTCTTGGCCAAACTGTGGTATGTTTAATCTAGACTTTAAGAGGAAACCCTGTCCTATGATCCAGCAAGGGGATCCGCCTGTAGCAATCAACACATGCCAAAAGATATCAAGTGGGATTTTTAACAACTTGCCTCCATCACCCACGCCATGGCTTGCAATGTTTTGCTTAAATGGAATAACACCTGTACATAGAATTGACATGCTGTGACAATGCTGGCCAGTTCCTGAAGGCTGGCTAAATGATGGACTTTCACCTTTCACAACAGTGATCACTGTTGTTGAACTGATTGTATTGCTGGCCTGCCTGGCTGTGAAGATTCTGTTTTCATTATAAAATATAAACATGATTATACATAGAAAGGGGAATGCTGTATAGCTAGACTAGCATGCAGTGCCGTCTATGTTATGCTTGCTCTGTTTTGTCATGCATATGCTGCTGCTTTTTTTAGTACTGAACACAATGAATGCCTCTTACCTAAACAATGCCTTAGAAATTCAGTCTGCTCCACTGCTAGTACCATTTGGAAGAGGCCATTGGTGCTGGTGCGCACAGCATTCTTTCCACAGTGCTACGGTGCTGATTAACTTAGTATCAAGAAGGAACCTGGGGAAAGCAGGCAGGTGCTCAGAGGAGAGCCAGGGGAGCATAAGGCAAAGCTGGCAGGGGAGGTACTTACAAAGGGGCGGGAAGACAAAGGACAGGGGCAGATGCAGGTTGGAACAGGGCCTGTTCCAGCTGGAGAGTGTCCTGAGAGACTAGAGACGAGATACAATGACAGGCTTTAAACCAACCTGTTTCTCCGTCCTTTAGACACTGACGGCTCATTTCATGGGGTGGAGTTTCTGCCAGAGGATATCAGAGACGCTCCCAATGAAACAACAATGAGGGTGAATGAGAAATACTCCACGTTACCTGCCGAGGAGAAAGGGATCCACATAATCAACATCAGAGCTATTGAAGATATAGGATACGTTCGCACGGAAAGCACGGTGAGTACAGCCACTGCCTCCTTAGCCTGTTATTGGCATATCTAGGCATAAATCCACAGTCCATTCGCCCCATCAGGTTAATGGCTGAAGATGTACATCCCACTGTACAATGTTCCTTCCAAAGACAAGGCTGTTCAAAATGTCAGTCACTAAAAAATTCACAGCTTTTCACTGTCTTGTGAAGAACGCTTAAGGTGAGAGCCTTGCATCATGATCAAAGAGGATGATTGAAGAGAATGTTTCTTGATCAGCCAATATAACTGATCATCCCTGGTTGCTTTCGGAGAAATATGTGTTTGTATGGTTGTGTGTGTGTATAAACACATAAGCAAGTACATGCACACAAACAAATGCACACTTTGAAAGTGGGAAATGCACACTTTTCCCACTTTCATTACTGAAAGGATTGGTATTTTCTAAGCTTTTCCTCCCTGCCTTGTAAAACCTACAGTGCAAAATGTTCAAGAGAATATTAATTTATGTTACTTTACTGAAACATTTATATTTCCATCAGGATGACTCTCAAAACAGCTATTTCCAAATATTCTTCAGAAATAAAATGCTAATGAAATTATGGCATACACATGCCTGAAGATGTGTGCCTACTTTAGGGTTAAGCTCTGCACATTTATCAGTATTTTCTGTGCCTTTGAGAGCAGGAAATATCAAAGGGCACTGCTTTCCTTGCCATAAGTAATGTCCTGATGGGAAAAAACCCGAAAGTTTTACCTCTTGATATCTGCCTTTTATACCACCTTTATTCATGAAAAAGGTGACAATTTGTGACATACAATGGTGCCAATTGTATGTAAAATTTCTAAAGGAGGCTGACTAAGAAAAAAATCAATAGAGTTTTATGGCACCAAAAAGATTAATTAATTTATGGTGACATAAACTTCCATGGGACCATGTCTACTTCATCAGAAACATAAACCATTATCCTGAATTAACAAGTTGGATGCAAAGGTGGTAGAGAGAGAAAAAATGTAAGTAATGAGTTTAGAGGAAAATGAAATGCTAGAAAATAAAATCAAGGACAAATCAGTGACCTTAAAGTGTATAAAATAAATTACAGTGACCATTCACAAATCAGTGTTGATAATAACACATGATTGTTGTTGCTGTTATTACTACAAACCTCAGCACTGGTAAACTGATAACAAACTTAGGGATAAAGAGATAGGATGTTAAGAAACTGAAATCCAAGTTTTGTTTCATTTTTGGTTGGACAATATAGTAGAGAGAGAGAGCATTTTTTTCTTTGTTCAAGATCATTTGAACTGAAGCACTCTGCAATTGGTTGAACTTGAGTTGACTTTCTGGTATGGGTTTTTAAATTCTGGAGAGATAATCTTCACATGCCTTTTATTCAAAATCACTTACTGGTGATTGTATTTATACATTATATTATGATCATGCATTACACATTTATTGGATTTAGTCCCTTCCTCAGACTTATTTAAATCTTTCAGTATTGGAATTTCTTTATATGGGCATTTCAAAAAATGGATCGCTTATACAACTTAACTCCCACAGGTATTCTAACTAACTAAACCTGTAGCAAGCACCAGAAGGGCTTGGGTGTGCATTATATTGCACCTAGTATTTAGTATTTAAGTGAATACTGTTACATGTCACTCCCACAATAAAACTGGTAAAGTGGAAAGAATTTATTCTTGTGTCTACCTGTGAGCTAACTGGATACATGGCAAGTATCTGGGAGTGCCTCTGTGTGCCCAATGAGCTTTTCTACACAAGACTGTTGTTATGTACATGTACTTCATTATGGGTTCTGTACAGCATATTGTAATGTTGCAGTTTCAACTCTGTGTTTGAGAGCACTTTCCTGTGGTGGGTGTTAGAGCAGGGAACATGGGTATTATTTCTGGAAATGAAAGAAAAGGTAGTTGTCTACTTGTGTATTTGTGTTATTCGGCCATAGCACAGTGCCACTTAGAGATTTCATAGTGCAAAAGCAGGAAAACACTTTGTGTAGGGCTTGGATTTGTAATGAATTCTGAAATGAAACTGAAGGTAGATACAGCAATTAACAACCTGATGTAGAAAACTCATTGTGGGAAGATATAAATCCCAAGTAAAATATTCTGTCCTATGAATCCTATTTCTCCCTGAGTATAAGTGTAAGCACCAGGATTCTTACTTGCCGCTCTGGTGAATATTCATGAAAATGTGGAGCACAGTTCTGAGAAAGCATTGTGCAAGGATGCGCGGAACAAACAGAAGACTGTGGAAAAACTTTCCTTCGGCACCTTATAAATTCAAGGACAGCTCTTGGGATCTTTGTGTAGAATTGGACCATAGCACACTAGTCAGCTACTCAAATGGCAGATATTGTCACTGGAAAGGTAATCCATATTTCTTAGGAAAATGCATCATTTGACTATATATCCATTAGCAAGGTCAGATCATTGGGTAAATCTCTGCTGTATTCATAGGCAAAATTGGGGATATGAACCTGGGATCTGAGTCAAATCAGTGGCTCTCCAGACACTCAGACAGTGGGATGGTGTGAATTAGTGTCCTGCAACACCAGGGTGTTGGACCTGATGGTCTTCATGGTCTTCTATGATTTTATGATTCTTCCTTAGCATATGCATGGAACTGAATCTGCAGTCTTATATACAGACAGAATGTGTACTAGTCCACTGAGCTATGTGACTAGAGTACTGCTTCCCTACTGCAGAGCTGCCTTTAAAAAATAAGTCAGATCCCATTCATTTCATTTGTTCTATCAGGAAAAGCAAACAGAGATAAAAACAAATGAAAGATCTATTAGTTTCCCTTTCTTTTGATGATAGTTTCTGGTGGGGTAAAAGCTGAAGCTGCTGGAGCAACTTGCTCAGATGAGAGAGAGGGAGTGGGAGTGGGAGAGGGAGAGAGGAGTAGTGAAATTGACAGAGAAGTAAAGTATGTAAAGTTATTTTAATAATCCCTAAGATGTAGACCCTTTATCCTTAACTATCTGAAATTTGTCAGGTCTGACTCACTGGAAGAAGAGTAGGAAGTCTGACAATGTAAAACCATTTGAAAAACACAGAAGTACAAAGAGAAGAAATTCAACTGAATATCCCATTGAAATCTATGGGAACTGTATGTGTGCTTGAATGTAACTGTTCATAAGAAGGGAATCCTTTGTCCAATTTGTCTGAAATCTGGCTGGAAAAAAATGAATGAAATGAATACAGTTTGAGCAAACGAAACATAATTTTTTAAAAAATAATACATTAATGAACTTCAGAAGAATTTTTTGCATACCCAAGCTCTCAGGCAGTGGTTCCAGCAGGATTTTTGTGAAGATAGTGCTATGTTCACAGATGTCCTTGAGTCATAATCCCTAGCTCCCCAGCTTTCATCTTTAAGAAAGAAAGAAAAGAAAAGAAATTCGCTTGTAGAAGGAGAGCCAGAGGAAAAATGTTTGGGCATTGTTCTGCCGGTTTATTTCAAAATTAAACTAGACTTCTCCTGCCTTTCAGTGTTTTGAATGCATCCATGGCACCCACTTGTCTGAAGAAGGAACTTCCTGGTTAATTTTAAAACCATTTTGGGCTCTTGCCTGTGGAAAGTGATTGCTCCCTGTAAGAGCAATTCGCTCTGAAAGCCTAGAGAGCCACTGCCAGCCACCGCTGACATTACTGGCTAGAGGGACTCCATGTAAGGTGCTTTCCCATGTTCCTATGTGGCACACAAGAGTGTGTCCTCTAAAAGTGCCTGTTCCATGGGTACCACCTCATTCTGCCTAATGTCTTGAGCATTGGTGCAGTTTGTTAAGAGAGATACGGTTTGTGATATATGTGTATGTGTGTACAGTTTGGGGAAAAGCTACATTTTTGGAGTTCTTTTCTGGACACCTACCTGACCAGGGCCTGTCCATTGAGCCAGTCTGCTAAGTGGCTCCTCAGAAGATTTCTCATGTATTGTAGTAACAACAACCCTTGTGAAGTTGCCTCTGTATTTCCTGGAAGTGAGAGCTTAGGAGTGGACCACAAACTGAGTAAGGTTGTTCACCTCCCAACTACCTTATTAACCATGTTACAAGGTGAGGGGAACCAGGAAAAGATCAGAGAACTTCAGCCATGGATGGAAAGAACCTGAGTCTGGCTATTGAAAATCAAAGAAGAGGTAGACCTAGTATACAAATTCTCAGAGGCCAGTTCTATTTATCTCAGTAGGCCAAGTGTCCATGTCTTCTTGCTGCTTAGTTACCAAATCAACAAGAAACGGTAGAACCTGTTCCCTGGTGTTATAGGGACTTTCTTAAGATGTACACGCTGGCATAAAATTTGCCATTCCAGAAGAACATTAGTGCAGTTCAGAATTCTGCCAAATGTCACAATCCGAGGTCCTCCTCAGGCAATCATTTTACTGATTTTTCTCTCCCCCCCACTGCCAAACACATTTCCCACAAATCCTACTGTTAGAGGATTCAGCAGTGGTCCCAAGATGAAGGAAATCATTATAGGATGTGGCAACTATTTTTCTGACTGCAGTTGTCATTGTTTTAATAGGGACAGTGACGCCATACAATATCCGATGAATTCTTAAAACTACTGTGCTGTGGTTTTCTTAAGTTAATTTAAATATCCCTTGCTCCAAATAATATTTTGTTGGCATTTATGATGCTTCTAATGTAGATGTTGAATGTAACACTTTTCTTTTTTAATGTTGTCAAATTCCCTGGATTTTCTGCCATTCTGTGTAGGCTTCTAAAAGGCATGGAACAAAGCTCACGCTCATGCATGCAAGGAAAATGCACTGGTGTCTTCAAGTTACAATCTCTTACCACCAGGGAAATTACACAGAAATTATCCCTCGCCCGTGAGCAGGCATCTTCCTGCTCCATCCCAGTGAACTAATGATGTGAAGGGCAGAAAGTCACATACTCTTTATTGTATGCTACAAAGATAATAGACTAAAGAGATGCAGAGTTAGTGACAGATCCATGTTTGGCCTTTGGTATAGTCCTCGTGCCTTTTAAGTGGCCTGGAACCATTTTTAAAACGCATCTAATTATATCTCTTCACATTATGAAAGCATTTAGGCACTTCAGCTATGATTTGTGCAGTAAAATGGATTAAAATTTTTTGAATATAACACTTTGCAGATCAGGAGGACATGACCTCTCTGAGAAATTCCACAAAAAGAAGCATTTAATATTTTTCCCACAAAAGGAAACATACGCTTTTTCAACTACAGTCAAATTTACAGAAGTTATCTCTGGAGAAAGACCACACATGCAAGCTTGGAAGCAAATGCAAAAGTTTGCAGCAAATGACTGTTTCTTCATACAGTCCAATAAAACAGTAATTCTGCCTTCTTTGTTTAATGAAGAAAAAAAGTTTGTATTTAAAGATTCTGATCTGGAACATTAGTAATAATCTTAACTACCCAAACCAGTTCTTATATTGTAGTTTCTTGGAGCTGCTCTGGTGGCGTTAAAACATCGAGTTTACCCAACAGCCAGATCTAGTTCACAGTGATTTTTCCTTCCTTTAAATTGCAAAGTGGAAGACCTCCTTCACTGATTTATGATGTAGAAGTAGAATGCATATCCTAACGCACGATGCAAATTTGTTTTTTTCCACAATGAATTGACTTTGATAGATCATGAAGGTGTACTTTTAATTTAGAAGTGCACCTCTTTAGGAGATACATATCTTTTTTGCATTGTAAGCTTTAATTGCATTATCTACTTCGTGCTACCAGGACTTTGTGGGAGGTAGGGGGTGAGAGATTCATTTCCATTTTAATTTTCCATGAGAAAGAGTCATGAATGAAGCAAAAACAGAACCTTGGTCCCTTCCTGGCTGAGGTCCATTGGCTTTTTTTGGCTGCGCTGTATAACCAGCTGGCTCCTTTCAGTCTCTATTAAAACTAATCTCTTTTTCAGATGATGCAAAGCAGTGACAAATGTCTGAACCTAACATTAATTTGTTTGCCAGTGGTACAATACAGATGCATTTGGTGAAGAAGGGTA